TTCCACTATTAGTACTTATTTGAACCCCCAAACACTAAAAATATTTTAAAATAATGTTACACCAGCAGCACAAACACCAATTGAGAAACAGAGAAGTGAAATTAAAAAAAACGCTTTCAGCAAGTAAAAAATGAGATGACTGGAAAGAGGATGACTTACTCAACGTTACTGGTAACCAGACGCTGTAAGAATGGCAATACCTCAGGACCTTTCAAACAGAGAAGAGCTCGATGACAGAGTAGCACTACCTTCCGCATCGTCTGGAAGTCTCAAAAACTAAACCCTCGTTTACAGTAAAAGACTACGAGATTATACACATACAAACCAGCAGCTAAAAATATGGCAGTAACCATATACTAAAAAACCATTAACCTGGCAAAGATTGTAGCAGCATATAAAATTTACTGACTTCAATATTAGACATGGTTCTGTAATAAAAAGCCAAACAAAAAGTGCTGCTTCCTCAGTGTCAACAGTGCTTGCAGACAGAAAACGTACGTCTACAAGTGCAAAAAAGAAATCTGAAGTAACCGCGCTAAACAAACCCAAAAAGAATGACGTGGTTCAATTGCAGAGACCAAAAATAAACCGGAAGACGAAAATTATTAAAGAAAGCAGCAACTCAGCAAAAAATAAGGTACAGCAATAACAGTCACTTAGAAGACGTCAATATTTACGGTGCTCATCTGTTAACTTAGTTCCTTTTCCCTACGACCTACCTTCTTTCTTTGTGTACGGAGTTGCTAACTCCTCCCCGTTCAATTCTATTAATTTCAGCAATAAGCACTAATTAGTTGATTTTCAGCACTCAAAGTTAAACCATGGCTAAGCACACTAACATCAGTTAAATGCTTTTTAACGTTAATGAAATGTGGTAGGTGCCTTGTCTAGTTTAAGGTGATTCAATTTTCCTCAGTAGAATTTCGGTGCCTTTTTAGCAACTCTACGTAGTCCGAAAATACTTTTTCGTTACGTTTATTGGAAATTCCTAACCCACTGTATAAGGTATCCAGAAAGCCTGTACAGAGGCAAGATTTAGCCCTCTACACTTACAAAACTACATCTGTAAAACTGAATTCTCAACGATAAATCACACTTAATCAGCATTAAAGTACATCAAAAATGTAAAATTGCCTGAAACTAAGAAATTAGTGCTCAGATACGGCTAAAATTAATAGCGGCGATTAGAATGCGATTAGAAATCGCGTGCACAAAAACTGAAGGTATATAATTTGTCGGGAACTGTAGTGTCGCCATGAAATCTTAACCAGCAGTATCTATGTTTTGTATCCTTTCGGATTTTCTAAAAAGTATGAAATACCACAGTGAGTTATCCATCTAATAAACTATTTTCTTTTAGCTTTATCCATACTGGTATCCAAAATAAAGGCAACAACGACCAGAAGCAAAATTTTACTTCATTAACAAACAAAGCTACCAACAAAGTTGCAATTAAAGTGCAAGAATGAGAATCTTAGTCAGAAACTATAAACATAAAAATAATTGATAAACATAAAAAGAAAAAAATTTATTCAGTTAATTTTCATCCGCTTTTTAGCAATCAAAACTGCGTTCGTAACACACAAAAAAAAAAAACAAAGTTCTACAATAATTTTTCTTTTTCTTCGGAGCTAGCAAATATGTTAACCACTTTAAGTAATGGCACAATGTATTATCTCAGTACAAAACCATTGTTTTAAAAATTCAGTATCTCATCTGCTCTTCAAAGCGATGACGCTACTGTTAGTCTCCTACAGAGAGCTAAAATTACCATCTGTGATACAATAAAACCAGCAAGATTAAAGATGCGCTTGATCAGATGAGCAATCAGCAAAATTTGCCGAAGAGCAGTGGAAAATAACACCAAACACTGTCAACTTCGCTCAGCGATACAGCTGTGAAACAGTCGACTTTAATAGCAGTGTTAAAATAATCATAAAAGAAACAAATTGGCAAATCGCCAACACAAGTACCCCACCACTTCTCATCTCTGATAATGTCATTTTTGACGAAGTCGTCATCTCATTCCCCTTTTCCAGCTCATTGCACCGATACGTCACTGATGGCAATTTCACTGAAGTCGAGTCGTTAACTTTTTTTTTTTTTTTTTTTCTGATTCGTTTGCTGGAAGCAGTCTTCGAGCTAAGTTCTGCTTAATTTGGATATGGAAATTTAAAAAAATTCAAGAAAACATAACGAACTGCAGTGAAACTGCAGATTACAGGTGCGTTTGATCAAATGAAAAATCAGATGTAAATTGTCGCCAACGTGTTCTTTTTACTGCCACTGTACGTATTACTGATTTTCTATTGAATAACACTCGTGAATGTTCTTTGATCTGCGCTCAACTGCATCATTTTATCCTTTTCTTCTACACATCCTGATTCTGGCTAAATTTAAATTGTACATCATATAGTTTTTTTCAACACAAACAAGAAGAATCTGATCGGATTTTCATACTGTCGTCAACTCTTCTTCAATGGAAGCTTCTCTAGTTGGTAAGTGCGCTCATGAAATAATCCTAGGAGAATTAAAAAAACCATTTAAAATTTCACCATTATTTTTTGAGAAGTACTCCCCTTCCAAAAAATGTTTGGCAAGAAAAGCCTGAAAGGTCAAAAAGAAAGTCTAAAATCTACCAATCAACTTTAAAACTACCCTCCAAGAACCTTCCCTTGTGAACCCAACACTCTGGTTACTCACGGCAGCCACGGTAATTCAGTAAGTTAATTGCTGTTATGCTGGTACTAGTGAAAGGCAACAGAAATTATTGATTGTCAGATATAATGCATATGAAGGTGGAAATTTTTTATTTATTTCCAATTATCTTAGTTCACATGTCCCATAGTGATTTGGACAGTGCGAACTTGAGAGATCACGGGGATTGGTTTCACAAGTATTTTTGGACATACACGTTTCTGAGAGCAAATGTAAAAAAAAAAAAAAAA